AGAATATTTCTAAATCTAGAAATATTCATTGCTACATCATATCACTAAACAAAGTAGTTCTCGCGACATCATATCACACAAAAAAAAAACTTAAAAAAAGTGTTTGCATTTGTTAGAATATGTCAAACACACAAACAGATCCAAATTAAAATAAGCAATCGGTTTTCATTACATTAGAGAGGCTTCATGGTAGAGAAAGTGATGTATGGGTTCCACTTAAACCAACCTCGACCTCCTCTAGTTTGTCTTTTCGAAGCCAAGTTTGTTTGTCTCCCACTCTTTTACAATATGCAATTTGTTGGAAATTTATATCATCTTGAGAAAACTGCAAAATATATTTTTAAATTATGTTAGGTATTTCCGAGCCTTGACTAAATATATCTATTTTTACGGGTTATAAATATTTATACGGGAGCCTAAACCCTTACAAATATATAAATCAGTTTGACTAAATATGTAGATTTTAAGCGATACTAAACCCTATTATGGGAGCTTGAACCCTCACAAATGAATGCAAAAATATTGAATGATTTAACATGTTCGCATTGACTAAATACTGATGTAGATTTTAAAGGGTTCTAAACCATAATATGGGAGCCTAAACCTCCACAAATATACATACAATATGAAATGATTTTAAACAATTGATTTGACTAAACAGATGGGTTTTAATTGATACTAAACCTTAGTATGAGAACCTCAACTCTTACAAATGAACGCAAAATATGGAACTAAATATGTAGGCATATTAGAGTGCACTTGTGATTAGAATATGCTCAGTAAAGGAGATTTTAAAAAATCTACAACTTGTATATCAATAGATTTTGACAAACAAATTAAGCGATATTGAGAATAAACAGAGTAAATCAAATTGAGAAAATGCAAATAAGGAATATGGAGAAGATAGAAGTGTACGTCGTGTGGACGTAATGTCTGAGTGATCTAACTGCAACGTACATTACAACCAAGTATATGCAAAGATAAATTCCAATAAATAGAGAAATAAATGGATTAAAAGAAACAACATACATTGTTTTGTCTTTTTCTTCGTAAAAGTTTGTACAAATATTCAAAGACTCTAGAGTTTCTTCTCCGCTTATTTCTTTGTTTTTCTTCATTTTTTTCTAAAAATTTCTCTTAGTTTTCTTATTTCTTTGTATGCTTTCTCATCACCATCATCATTATTTTTCTCGAAGAACACATAAATCCCAAACCCCTAAAACACCATATATAAATATAAACAATAAGAAGATAATCTATTAATAAGAAACTATATCAATGAATATTAAATCAATATATAAATAACTTCAAGAACAATAACAATAGCCGCGAAAGACAAACAACATAAAGACCGGACCATTCTCAATCTCTTTTACTTTCTCTCCAAACTTCTCAAACGCTTCCAACACTACTTTTTTAGCCGGCCATTCTTTTCAATCTCTTTGTCCCAAATACACCTCATCACTTGAATGAGTAGACAAAATCTTAAGCAGAGATATCGCAAGAAGTGTCTAATGCTGAGTCGTGATGGTTTTCAAAAATAATTTGTCCGGATTCTTCTCAAGTTCTTCAAACTCTTGAGTGTTTTCCTTCGGAGTGAACTGACGGCATATGGTCGGCCAGTTTGGGAGGTAAACGGCGATTGGATACTGTCCGAAGTTAACCGTGGCGTGAAGAGCAAAGGCCACCCAAATAATTATAGTGCAAGTCTCCATAAATTCTTCACGGTTTTGCATTTTTGGCCACCAAAGTTCTGACTTTTTGTCCCTGTGACCTTCCCCGCGCAACTCCTTCCACCAAGCTTGGAGTTCGTGGTTGTTTTGAACATCCTCGTCTGTCTTGTAATACAAGAAAATGTTGTTTTGAACATCCTACGTTCGGGTGTCGTGTCGTTGTAATGTTTGTGATTTTGTAGATCAAAAAGAAATTTATCTATTTTTAAAAAATTTGAATGTAAAATATATTGAAATCAATCCATGTTTACTATAAATGCATCGTGAGTTTGAAATCTAGAGAAGTTCCAAAAAGGCAAAAAAAACCTAGCTTATGAGAGTAAACCGATCTTCTCTTATTTATTGGGTTTGAAAGGGGAAACTGCAAAACTATCCCATAGTGATAATCTCATATTACTACCACCTTCAAAGTCCATGTTTTATGTTTCCTCCTACATATTCTCGTGGTGTTGGAACCTAAACAAGATGCAACCTGGTACTGAAACCTGGTATTTAACCGTTCCCTTGAACCCGTAGACACCTATAGTGTAAGTCCCCAAGCTCTGAGCTCTCTCCTTTGATCTCGATATTAAGGTCTTTGAACCCACGTCGCGTGAAGACCACTCATGTTGATGAAGAGATGGGAACAGAACCGGGTACCTTGATACATCAAATATCCGCTCCATCCTTTTTCACATCTATCTTTACAATAACTTTGATGTTTCCTGCCACTATTTTTTATATAGTAGCCTCGTCAATCGCAAACTTATAGTAATCATATTGTCCTTCTTCAACCGTTCC